AAGAATTACTTCCTGGAGCATCTTCATCAGCACAGCGCTCCTGATGCGTTTTTAGCTGCATTCTCTTCATTTTCTTTTACAGAACAGAGAAATCCAAAAAAGCGCCCTCCCAAAATATGATGACCCACCAGTCTCCTTATCTTCTAGAGGACGAGGAAAGAGCAGGTGGAATATTGAGCACCACAGAGCCTGCCATGTCACTATTGTAGATGCTATTACTCATCTGCATCAATGATTCTTCCTAAGTCTTTTGTCACATATAAACAAAGACTGCAAATGACACAGTCACAAGACAGAACAGGGACAGACATCCAGGCCCCTCTTTTAACACTGTAGTTGCCTATACTCAGCTTTTGCGATTTAGCCTTCTATCTTGAAGAATGTAACAACCCTTACTTGAAGTTGCTTGTTCTTAAGAGTCAGGAACCGTTACCTCTCTAAAGCAAATCAAATTTGGGTCCTACGGATCTTTCACAGTGCTTTCACCCAGAGTAGCAGTTAATAGTTACATTATGGAGAATTACATGATCTCCTAAATACACATGCTATCCACAAATTCAAACATCATCTTCCCTACAGTTCCCTTCCTATGCCATTCAATATCTCCTATTTTTATCCCAAGCTTTAAATGCTGTAGCACTTAATTTTAAAATGGAAGATTTAGAAATTATGTAGCGTTTTTTAAATTAGAACAAAGCATTATTATCATAATAGGGACTACAAAACACGTAAATACATTATCTTCTTCAAAAATACTGTAATAAGTAAAAAAAGGACCCCAACAATACATTGGGTACAAAAGAAATATAGGAGGGATTAAACCTTAAAAATACAATGTAACCTTATCTTTGACAGGTGCATTGTATTTACTGCTAGCAGTCTTACCGCTTTCTGTCTAGTTTACTTTTTAGTAAAAAACTAAAGCTGACCTTTGTCAGCTTGTCACAGCTGTACATTTTGGATTGAACTGCAAGATAGGGAGAGGAGTTTCTTCTCAAATCTTAGGGAGGTAACTTGTGCACCAAGTATTTTATGAGCTAATCAGGCAGCTACAGCATTCCTGGAGACCTTGGGATATTATAGTAAAATAAAATTCAAGAGCTACAGTATGCTCTTGGTGCATCTGCATACACGAAATGGTTTGCTGGCACCTACCAATCTATACAGAGTAACTGCCTGCAGAAGGATAATCCAAGCTAGTGCCCTTTTGCTTATGTACTTCTGGTCTCTGAAATAAAACACGCATTTCTAGAGACAATTTTTCTTTATCTTCTTTTCCTTCAGCCAAACTCCCACTGAGGAATTCTGAACAATTTTGATCCTTCTAGGAATGGCCTTAGAGCATCTATGTCTTCTTGCACCTACCGCATAGGCCTGAAGCTCAAGCACCTGAAGCTGCTGCAACATACCCAAGGAATCAACTACAGCTGGCTCGCTGCTGTAACGGTAGAGAGTGAGACTCTATGTCTCTCGTTATATGTTGTTCTTGTGGTCAGATTTCCAGCTTGACTTAAACTGTTTGTGGGATTTTTTTTGTTGTTTTAATTTCAAGGGATCGGAAAGATTTCTTGAATTCTACTGCTTAGCATTATTGTCTAGAGATAAAGAAAATGCATGTTTCATAAGTGTTCTAAATTCAGCAAAAAGTGACATGTTCAGAGAAGGTTAAACTTGCCTCAACACTATTTGCCTCTGTAAACGGCTTTATTAGATTGCATGGAGAAGAAAAACAGTCATCCAAGATTGTTTTCTCCCTGGATCTTAGTCACCTTCAAATTTACACAGATGAGACACTACAGTACAAGACAAAACAATGTGCAAATATGTAAATCTCTTCACCTATGTACAGGTAAAACCAGTGGTTTCTTAAAAAAATAATTACAGATTGCAATACAGAAATTAGCACACATAATTGATTCTCTGTGTGTATCAAACAGATGTCTCCACTGCTATCACTAGCATAACAATGTCATTTATGCATGTTCAAGTCATCTTTAAACCATGTAGATCAGGTTTGGGAGCTCTTTTAACTATGGTAACACAAAGCTTCACACAGGCTGCAAAACTAGATGGAGCAGCAGGGCCAATACTTCAACATCTTGAAGACCACAATGAGCTCCAGACTACTGTTAGAATGGTTAGAATTAAGATATTTAATTTAGCTGGTTATATTGGGACCAAATTTTTAGTTTGATGCTTTAAATCCTTATTCAGTAAAGAACTCATCGAAATGTCAAAAGCAGTAACCCAAAAGTTTAAGCACCCATTTAATTTTTAAACTCATTTTTCCTGAAATCATAGACAGTCATTATACATCACATTTTTTACAGGTTTCTCCCATAGAGCATTTCACTTTTCCTCTTATCCCTTCTCCAAGCGATCAGAACTCTTCTAGGGTTTATCCTTTGTCCACCTTGTTGCTCTTTATATGCTTTTACCTCCAAAATCAATTGTTCTTCCCTTTTTAGTGTCTCTTATAGGTGTAGGGCTTTTGTGGTGTGGTTTTTTTTTCCCCACCTCTAGTGAAATTTATTGAAGTGTGTCTTGGGTCATTAACCACATCACGAAAAAAAGATGAAACTTTACGATAGTGACCTATTTAAGACAGTATACCATCTACAACAGTATTGCCAACATAGAATATCTTCCCAAGTGTATGTTAGAGAATATCTAACATTAGATCTCTGATAATTTGCCCTACGGAAGTAACAAAGACAAAAGCATGTAAGAACCCTCTGAAATTACATTACATACAGAATTTGCACAACTGTTGAAAAGAAGACTGAAAAGATGGCAGAATATAAAATGAACAGTGTTACAGATTACACTACCATGAAAAAGAACATGAAAATCTTCCCCTCGACTAATTTCCAAACTTTTAGGAAGTAACTTACTGCAGTCATGACAAAATGACAATTTTTTGAGTGTTTGCTCATGCTTCTTCCTCCCTGAACGTATAAGCAAAATACAGTAAATCACTTGCAGTCCTAGAATTTAAATAGATGTATTATATAGGCACTGGACAAACATAATAGCAAAGATCATAGACAAACCAGCTCATACAGAAATCAAAAAGCTTTCTTACCTACTACATATTCCACTAGCAGAAAAGGCAATTTGGTTTGTGACTACAGCACTACCCTGAAAATCAGACTTTGTTCCACCTCTAGTCTGCTCTGTGATCTAGAAGTAGGTTATTTCAATGACCTGCTTGTCTCAGATTTTCCTCCTTAGGGAGAGAAAAAAAAGATCAAGCCTCCCTTGCAAATGTTTGGATTTCAAGTTGAAAAGTACCATGCAGGCATGTTATTATAATCATCTCATGAATTAGGAATCATCAAATTATTTTAAAAAGTCAATGAACATTCATAGTTACTAGAACACATTCTTGTTATACACAAGAGTAGCATTTGCAAACAGCTTATATCCAAGGAATCAACTAAAGAAAGAATTAAAGGAAAAAACATGGAGTGGGTGGACTCATCTTCATAGAAACTAAGAGGGCATAAAGTGACTAATAAATACAGCAAATATCATAGACTACGATAATTACATTTTAATATTTATAATATACTTTAAGTATCATTTACAACTCCTGTGCAGTCGTGCCTTAAAGTTTTTATCAACCAGACACCTAAAGAAGTTCTTTTTTCTAATGTAATTACAGATGACATTCAAATAAAATATTAAAATAAAGCATTTACCTGACAGAAAATATATTTTAACAGTGAATTAAAAATAAAAGATTTGTCCCTTCCTACTGCCAGGAAATACGTCAAGAAACAGTATCTTCTTTGAAGTTGCAAAACTTGCCTAAAAAATCAATGGAAAAAAGTAATTTACTAGAGAATAACACCACTTCCCTCAAAGCTTACTGGTGACTGAAATGGAACATGTTTTTTAATAAATATCTTTGCACGCATCTTACAACACCAGAGTAGCTGAACTGTTTATTTCAGAAGAACTCATACATACAAGTATGATTTTAGAAAGTTCACATGCAACAGATTGTGGTAAGAGTTTGTATATTTTAGTATCACTTCCTTTCACCCAACTGCACACAAGAAAATCATTCAAATTACAAAAAAGCTTATTGGAATGTTGATTTTATCAAGTTTTTTCTAAATTCCACTTCGTAAAAATAACAATAAATCTTTCAAGATTTTAACCCAAAATACTGATTTTTAAAAGGGATATTTGTGGAACTTAAAATATAAACATTATTAATTTTCATAAAATACAAAATGCATGAACATTTTTAAAACACTCAATGTTTCTAAAATATTATGGAGTTGATAAATTGCCATAAATTTAACACAGGTTCCCTCTAATTAAAAAAAGTGGTTCTTAAAATAAATCAACAATTCCCTAGTGCATTTATAAAGAGAAAAGATCAAAAGCAGTAACTGGTATCTTTCCTTCCAGTGTTAATTAGTAATTAAAAATCTTAGCTTCATTAGTACCTACTCCAAAATACTTTGATTTTTTTTTTTTCTTTTTTTGGTGGGGGAAGGGGATGTTACACAGGCAAATCCTGCAACAAAAGTCACGAAAATTAACCAGCTTTGAAACTTCTTGCCCTCATCACAGTAAAAAAAGGATATGAGACTCCATTATTTTCTTTTAAATAAGCATCTTCCTTGAAGACCTCAGCTTTCATTTGGTCTTGAGTTGCATGTAGATGCATGTATTGCATAACTCTACTGGCCAAGTAACATCGTTTATGACAGTTCAGATATGTCTGATAATTTTAGGTAGAAATAAAAAAATATTAGAATCGGTTCTTTGGCATAGTACAGAAGTTGACAGCTCCTACTATTTGGACTGACTGCAAGTCCTAAAGAAGAATTTCCTATATTTGGAGCAAGGGGGACAGGACGGGACTTGTCACTGTTTCAAAAGCAAGTAGATTAAATGAATGTCCCTTTATGGATTTCAAGTGTCTTCCATCTGTCATTTACTTGATGTCTTCAGTACTGGTTCCATTTTCACTTGCATTATCACAGTTGAATATTTCCTGCATACAAGGTAATCATCAGTATAGCAGTAAACCCCGTTAGTAAACCAGCATTCTGAATAAGGAAGAATGCGAGATCCATCTTTCTTCCTGTCACTTTCTCCTGCAGCATATCATTCATCTCTGGGAACTGAAAAAGGGGATATTTTTAGGTAAGTATTGCCATCTCGTGGTAGCATGCATAAGTTAAGCCATTAAGCACTGAACCATATTACTACTTTGGACTGAACATCAGAACAGAGGCGAAGGCAATCACAGGAACGGGTCACCCTAGCTACCCTGAAAAACCACTTCACCAAGGACGGTAAAGTGAAATGGTGTTTTGTGCCTCTCTAGTGTGATTTCACCTGGTTGTCTCTCATGCAGATTTCCTCCTTTTGATTCCAGCAGTCTCCTAGGGTCCGATTGTTGGCCCATATGTTGCTAGGAGCAGCTGCCCTTATACTGCTAAATGTGTTTCTTCCTTCAGTACTATAGGCAGAGAAATCCTTGTTCAGAAAATGGAAGATTAGGATTCCTCTGCTTTATCTATAAGCAAATGAAATGAACCTGAAAACACAGAAAACACCTCAGAAATAAGAAACCTGTTACAAACAGAAGGCCTGGTGGGCTGATAAGGTAGTGGTAAAGCAAGGAGCAAAGAAGAAGAATGTTGTGAAACTGGTGGTAACACATGGAACATTACATTACAGTGCAATTAAGAGGTTCTTCATTCCGTAACTCACATGTTAATGGCAACATAACAGCAAAGGATGACTGATCTGCTGTTAACTGCAGAAACAAAGATACTTCCTCTGAGAGGCAATGGAGACGATGGCAGATGAGCACTGGCAACAGGGTCCCCATATGGGGTCTTTCAGGGTATGTGTTTGCTGCAGATGAAGTCAGCTGCCATTGATTTTTAACAGACATACTTAAATAAGCTTTAAACTCTTCTCCTGTTGTGCTGAGAGTAGCATATCCAAAATGCAATGGAGACCGCAAATTTCAGTGTTAGTTTAGCAACCTTCAAGATAGGTGAGTCAGAAGCTGTATGATTCTTTGATCTCACAAGGCAAAAACAACCACTGAAGGTAATGCAATTCTTGAAAAACAGACTAAGGTTAGTGGGAAGTGGCCAAACCTTCCCAGAAATCATTCCAGATCTCCATAATCCTCTTGCACAAGAGGCAACAAACCAGATCAGCTTCATGCCATACCGCAGCTTGTGCACACACCTCAGTGTACACATTCTCGCATGGCCACAGCCTCACCAGACAGTGATCTTACCGGCAGAGGTCGGACTATGCCAGTGCTGGAGGAAAAAAGAACAGCAAAAAGAAAAGGAAGGAAGGAATGACACTCTAGTTAATCCTACCTGCTTCTGGACAAGCAAACCAGAAGTGTGTGAAAATCATAACAGAAAGCGGAAAGCCAGATCTCTGCACAGAGCACTTGAATACCCTATGTCAGACTTTTCAGGGGGAAGAAAAATTCAGATAGGTAACTGATACAATCCAAAAACCTATAAAAAGAGAGACTGGGGGGGGAGGGAGGAGGGAGAGAGACAGAGAGAAAGACAGAACAGAACAACAGATAAAAAGAAAATAATGTTACCTACTTTGCTGGATTTAATAATAAATTTAAGTTGAGCCACTCTAAATTTATGCCATCAGTTTTACACATCATAGTTGAGTACACTACTATTCATTATGTAAGAGTGAAACTAAATAAAAAATCATTAGCAATTAAGGTACTGCAAACTTGTAAAATAAACTATTTATATTGTTCATTTAACTCTAACATTTTTATCTATTAAATCCAATGTTTTTACCTAGGCTATACTAGTATTTAATGAAATAGTCACTATAACTAGATGACAGTTCTTAAACACATACAGAACCCAACTGGGGTCTCAAATCTTTTCAAATTCAGGCCTCACTCTTCCAGTTCTACACTCCAATGATTCTCACGTGGCAGGTGTAAACATCTTTGCAGATACATCTGTTCTTGCAACACTATAATAAAACTTGAATAAAGCTTAAAATTCTTGAAAAATGTCTTCAATTTTAAGATAAAACATCATCATAAGAGTAACTTGTGGAATACTGCTGACCGCCTGTGAACCCAGATTTTATTTCTCAATGTCTAAATCTGATCTGGATTTCAGCATAATTTCTTTGGCTAGATCTTGTAGCACACTTTAAAAAATAAACGATAAACAGACTGTATTGAATAGAATGCAGAAAATTTTTTTAGTCTGAACCAAGAAACTCAGGCTGGCACTGTTCAATTTAAACCACAATAGAATATAAGTCAGGTTTTTCACCTAAGCAACCCCAAAATTATCACTGTGGTGATAAGGACAACACCTTTCATTCAACTCAAAACTAAATATTTACTTTCATTTGGTTCACCTTCTTTTTTCTTTTAAAATATGGTTTAAATAAAGAGACAAATGAATCTTTTGAAAATAGTAAGGTGAAATACTTTGCTACTTTAAAATGCTGAGACAAAGTATTAGTACACTTATTACTTTTTGATGAAACCAACCCAAATTCATGAAAAGCTTCTCTCTCTAAAACTCCTTTTCAGCAATAATCTGATCAGCCCTATTTCTGAAGTGAAGTGAAAGGCTTTCATGTTTCATGAATAAGCATAACTATTTGTGCACCTCCATTAAGGGTATAATTGACAATTTAACATATAAAAATAATAAGTAGATGACACTAGCATGAAAGGGACAAGATACTACATTCTACCTGAGAGTCTTAGTGCAGTCTTTTTATTCTTGCAGAAAAATAAATAACTGAAAATTAAATTATATCTCACCATATCTGCCAGAGAGATGTACAGGAACATTCCACCAGCTACAGCAAAGATGATATTAGGAGCAAAGTTGTTGCCTACTAATATACCAAAAGCCAGCCCAACATAACAGGAACATGCAGAGAGAAAGTTGAAAAACAGAGCCTGTCGAGTACTCATTCCTGCATTAAGCAAGATGACAAAATCCCCTAAAAGAAAAGAAAGGAAAAAAAAAAATCAGAAAGAAAACCATCTTCAGAAAACAAGGTTGTGATTATTTTCTGATTTCAAAGGAAGTCTGGAAAAAAGACATCATTTGTACACAAATTATAAACCACTGCTGGTTTCAAGTAAATTACGAGCATTTCCCTTCTATACTAAGGTACTGAAATATTCTAAAGCAAGCAGGTGATGTACAATTGAGATAAGAGCACAAGGACACAGACTACCCATAATGATTTAAAAAAAAATAATTCATACAACAGTGTATGCAGCATATATGAACAGGGCAATTAATACCTCTCTAATGTACATTCCCAGCTTCCAGCCACCTGCACTTGGGAACTTCCTGTGCTAGATGTGTATTTTGGTGCTTGGGAAGTTTTTGATGAGTATTTGTTCCATGAATTTGCCTAAACTTTCTTTCAATCTATTGCAACTTTTGGCCAGCACAACCTCCTACAACAGCGATTTCCACAGTAAACAATATGTTGAATGAAGTTCCTTACCCAGTTCATGAGGAAACTCTTCACACAAGATGGCGATGGAAGTACTAAGCCCTTGAAACAGGGACAAAGTGAAAGAAGCACCAATAGCCAAACCATCTATGAAATTATGTACGGCATCACTCAGTGTTACCATCCAAGCAATGGTCCCAACCTTTGACAGTGGTTGCCCATTGAGACACTTGCATAAGATGCCTTGGGCGGCTTCTTCCTGGAAAAAAAAAACACAATAAAGCAATTACATAAAACACTGAATAAATTAGACAATGAATCACACTTCTGTCTTCAAGTGAATGAAGCACTATTGCATATGGAGACCACAATGCTTGGTCCAAGAAGCAAAAGGCACAGATAGCAGCAGCAAATGCTTTCTGTTAACACACAGGGCTCAATCACCCTTCTGACTACAAAGCTTTATGTGAACGCCCTTCAGCTGAGACAGAAAGCAGTTCAGACCACCATGGTCTGAACATCTCTCTAGAGTCTCTGTCAGATTAAGAGAGTGCCAAGGCTCCTCACAGCCTCCTCAGCCACCTCTATTAAGCACGTACAGTGAGACGGATCTGATCACAGTGACAGCATCTCTATTTCCTGTTTAAATCACATCTCGACCAGTTAGATACTGCCAGTACAACGTGCTCTCAGAGACACACTTAGCTGCCACAGTAACAGCCAGCTACATGTGAATATAGACACACATCCAGATACTCCATAAACTTTATTTCTAATTTTGGGCAATGACAGTCAAGCCCAGCTATTCAAACTCATTTCTATAAAGTGCATGTTTAATAAAAACAGCAGTGGGTAATTCTGACTGTGCGGGTTGAAGGCTCAGAGCATGAAAACAACAGGCTAATACAAAACTGCAACGCACATAAACACCAGGGATCTCAGTAATTCCTCCCAGAAGTGGAAGTAATTTATACATGCGGTGCCACAAAATAATGAAAAACTTGAAGCAGATAAAAGAAACTGCCATTTTAGCTGGGAGCACGAACTAACATTCCCTAAAAAAATACTTCATCCATTCATATAAATTTCTGCACACACATATATTGCAGTTACATAATATTTGAAAGAATCATAGTATTTCCCTCCTAAAAAAAAGGATTTGCATATAAGGCATTAACTAGTGCTTGCTTACTGGAACACCTAAGTAGTAATATATACATCTGTGTGCCCACAGACATATTTTAACAGCTCTCCTTCTCTTGTAGAAGTGTGTAGAGGAACACCTCTTCCCCCTTATGAAAAGTTCACAGATTACTCCAAGAAATTTTCCTTAGTTATTAAAAAGCACACTGCAAATTGTTTTAGTTTTGCTGTATCACATGCAAACACTACCAGGCAACTAAATTTTGAACCTTAAAGAAATATAACAATTAATACATTCCTACAAAATCTTTAATGACAGAGTAGTAAGGTCTGTCTCATGATTCGCTCACCAGACTCTCATCTTGCTTGTACGTAGGAGCTGCCTTGGGTCAGGACAAGAGTTCAGGTCAGGGATTTCCGATTTCCGAGTCAGATGCCTACTGCACTACTCGGAACTTGTAGCTAATAGAGCCTTGGTTAAGTAGTGCCACAACTGCCAAAAAGCACAGTTACGGCTCCTCTTCAATGCATAGGAAGCCATGAAATTATGCTTTCATGATTTGAAAATGAGCAATGCTATCCAAAAATCAGGAGTTTCCCTGCCAACTCAAACACATAGGTTTTAGACTTCTACTACATGCTTGCCTTCGCTTTTTGGAAGTTTTCCTCTCAACGTTTCTTTTAACACACAAGCAATGCCAATCATATTTTTGGGATGACTAATTTGTACCTGTAGTAATTCTGTTTGAGATAGGATCACTTATGAGTAATAGGTCACTCTCTTAATCCACAGATGTAACTTGAACTTCACTTTAAGAAAGAAATATTACAAAGCAAGCCACATAAAATACATACATTAGGTAACTGGTAGTAATAAGAAACATGATTATAAGAAAATGCAAATACAATTAGCAAAGGTCTTCCACCTATTCAACCAGTTCCCTGAGCTGAAGTTCTGTTCCCCTACGTTCTGTTTTCTCTTCCCCGGTGACCATCCTTCAAGCTGCCTAGGAACGGACGGAGGTATTGTTTTGTACATTGTCGTGATTTCTGCTAAAAGCATATCTTCTTTCTCGGGCTTGTTTCTAGCTTCACTGAGGAAAGGGATTTTAGGACAATGCATGGATTTTAATTTTGAATAACTGACGCATTTTGCTACTAAAAAAGAACATTTTTCTTTTGGAAACCACACACACACAAACCCCAACAAGAACAGCAAGTATTTTCTGATAAAGCAACATTATTAATTTCAAGGGATTGTAATTTGAAAAGGTGTATTAGCAACTTCTATTACACATAAGAATGACAGGTGGCAACAAAAACAGCAAGCACATAATACAAATGTGCAACTAATGTCACTTGTACATAGTTATTCATGTTTGTTCCCATCAAACCACATTTTTTTTCATGTAAGGACCATGTGTAGGCCTACAGATTTCTGAGGGCTGTAGGAGCACAACTGGCTTAGCCACAGAACTAAGTAAAGGACTCATTTTCTGGTACCAGTTGCACAGCTGAGAATTCCAATGACAGTCACAGAATCACACAATGCTAAGGGTTGGAAGGGACCTCTGGGGATCACCTAGTCCAAACCCCCTGCCGAAGCAGGGTCACCTACAGCAGGCTGCAGAGGACCTTGTACAGGCGGGTCTTGAATATCTCCAGAGAAGGAGACTCCACAACCTCCCTAGGCAGCCTGTTGCTGGGCTCCATCACCCTCAGAGTGAAGAATTTCTTCCTCAGGTTCAGATGGAACTTCCTGTGCTTCAGTTTGTGCCCATTGCCCCTTGTCCTGTCACTGGGCACCACTGAAAAGAGTTTGGCCCCATCCTCCTGACACCCACCCTTCAGATATTTATAAGCATTTATTAGGTCCCATCGCAGCCTTCTCTTCTCCAGGCTAAACAAGCCCAGCTCCCTCAGCCTCTCCTCGCAGGGGAGATGTTCCAGTCCCCTCACCATCCTCATAGCCTTCTGCTGGACTCTCTCCAGTAGCTCCTCATCTTTCTTGAACAGGATCCCATTGGCCTTCTTGGCAGCCAGGGCACACTGCCGCCTTATGGTCAACCTGTCGTCCACCAGCACACCCAGGTCTCTCTCCACAGAGATGCACTCCAGCAGGTCCCCCCTAAGCCTGTACTGGTGCATGGGGTTGTTCCTCCCCAGGTGCAGGACCCTGCACTTGCCCTTGTTGAACCTCATCAGGTTCCTCTCTGCCCAACTTTCCAGCCTGTCCAGGTCTCGCTGAATGGCAGCACAGCCTTCCGGCGTATCCACCACTCCTCCCAGTTTGGTGTCGTCAGCAAACTTGCTGAGGGTACATTCTACCTCTTCATCCAGGTCACTGATGAAGAAGTTAAACAAGACTGGGCCCAGTACTGACCCCTGGGGGACACCACTAGTTACCGGCCTCCAACTAGACTCAGCGCCGCTGATGACAACCCTCTGAGTTCTGCCTTTCAGCCAGTTCTCAATCCACCTCACTGGCCACTCATCCAGCCCACACTTCCTGAGCTTCCCTAGGAGGATGTTACGGGAGACAGTGTCAAAAGCCTTGCTGAGTCCAAAGCATTGCATGTGTATGATAAACATAAAAATCTGATCTCAGGGGCTTTTTTACAAATATACTTGCTGAACTCTCTCTATGCACGTATACAGAAAATGAGCATTGAGTAAGAAGATGCTATTAAGAATTAGCTGTTGAACTTATCAAGAATAGAACTGATTAGAAATTTGCTGAGGTTTGGGTTGTTTCGTCTATGGACTTTTTTTAAGTAATTGCAATTAATTTAGGAGAATAGTATTGATTTCCTTCTAAAAACTACTTTCTTGATTCAATCTTTTAAAATGCAGAAACAATCATAGTTTAAAAAATAGGAATCTGTATCTGAGAGGCTTTTGTAATTACAGATACAGCTATCTGCGGTTTACTGTGTAGCTCTGAAGTATAATTCTTGCCTGTAATCTATTTTAGATAATGTCTTGACTTCTTTTGTAAATTATACACTAACATTGTTTGTCTGGGTTTACATTCTGAACTTTACTAGACTGTGTGTCTGATAGAAGTAGATGAACGACTAATATGTACTCTTAATGTCTAAGATAAGGCAGACTACTGACAAATTTACCCTACAAATATATAGGATTCCACGGCAAAAACAAATAATGTCTGTCTCTGCTGGACTGTTCCCACTTTGTCATGGTAGTTTACCAGATGTCACAGAAGAGATGCCAGCTAAGGAGCTCTGTAATATCAAACTGGACTATCACGTCTGACTTTTATTAATTATTAGTGCAGTTCTGTATTATTTGTATTTCCACAGTTTATGGTAAACCAAAGACATCCTTGGTGTTCTTGCTCTTCTGAACACAATTTTTTCTTTAAAAGTCACGGCCTCTCCTTTGTTCCACAATCCTAAGAAATGATACAGACACTCTCTTATTTTACCCTATGATAGCTCGTCAGATTACTATTGCTATTTCTAATGCGTCTCTGGCTCCCTCAGACATGAACCAGACACGTCCTTTTGTGTCCTCTGGAAGACCCCATGGGACCAGAAGGAATCCTGACACTGCCTCCAGGGCATACAGGCCACTGTAAAATTTTGTTATACAATTCTTATGTTGTGCACTCAAGGATACAGACATTTCAGCAATTTGTCTCTGAAACAACTTTGCTTTAAAGCTACTGTTGTCAAGCCATAAAACTTTAAAGCATAGTAGACACAAATTTTGGGTCAGCACAAAAGAGGTTTCCAAGGTTGCAATTACTGCTGCAAGTGAAATCTGAAACTATGTGACTAATTAAATGTTTAGACTTAACCCTGTCAGTCAGTTTGTTCCGGCCTTGAAAGAGAGAAGATGGCCAGATCCCCATGGCTGAAAACAGCTACCACACTTTGGCACAATCGGACGTCAAACTCCCTCCTTAAAGCCTATGTGATGATATCTGGCTACGCTATGTTCACTCCCTCTAATAAGCTTTAGATTACAAGGACCCATTATAATTCTGTTCGGTATGTGCTGGCTTATGCCAAATGGTTCCCTCATAAATATCAAATACCTGTAAAGCTGAATGCACACCTAACATGGCACTACCCCAGCTGCCCCAAAACCCCTCAGTAACATTTGCCCTCCCCTGGCCCCTTTGAACCTGCCTGGAGGAGACAAAGAGTAATGGTGTTTTCTTGTTGCTACCTCCAATATCAGCAGCCGGCTAAATGCCAATAGGATTTCCCTGCAGCCAGCCTTGGTTCCAGAGAGAACTTCACCCTGTTACTTTCAGGAGGTTTTAATACAACATATTCTCTTCCTGACTTCGAAGATATGGAGAGGAAGAATGGAAAGCATGAATTTTCGTAAGAACAAAAAGTAAAGCAGAAGAACCTTTGTGAAATTTTAAGTTCTTAAAGCCAAGACTGCATGTAAAAGGAGATGTATGAGTATTCCACACAGATCTTGGGGTGACCTACAATACTTTATGATCACAAGCACTGCAACTAAACTAGCTGGTAGAAATAAATGCTATATAGCTACATTTTTTATTATAAGCTATGGTATGATTTTGTTATTTTTATGCTATGCATAGGCAGATGGCTAGCCAAAATGTAATAACGGAGTAAGTCCAGATAAAACTTCTGGTAAACAGGGCAGAAAAACAACACACATGCCACTGGAGATTACTGTCTCCTCAGAGAGTGGAGGGTCCTTTTGTTTGTTTTATAAATGTACAAAACACAGTTTAGGGACACTCATAATACTAATTCCCTCTTGGTGCCCATGCAATTTTAATTATTAAGCATGTTTATCCTAGTTTTTAAAATGCCCAGTATCCACCACACTTCATGACATTTCTACTGTAAGGACAAGTACAATTTTGCTACTTTAAACTGTGTGCATCAAATGCCCATGAGCCTGCAGGGTCATAGCAGAACTCTCAGATTCTCTCCCAGCTGTCAGAGCCTGCCGCCTGCTTCCTCTCCTGCTCATCACTGCTCCCCACAAACAATTCACTGGGTAGAGAACATGGGTGTTAAAACAGAAATCTCTGTGATGGAAAAATCTGCCTGAGCCATCAGAGAGTTCTTTCTATGTGTTGGTTTTCATCTTTTTTTTTTAAATAAGGGACAGCACTGCTCCTCCCTGTACAGGGAAAAAAGTAAAGAAGCACACCAACTTTCTCTTCCTGCTTCCATTTTCTTCCCAGACAGGAGGAAGTTGTATTTGTAGTATGAAAACAAACAGAGAAACACATAGAACAAATTTGAAAGAAAATAATACTTAAACCAGGGGGAATGGCTTCTGTCTCAACATACTACCTCCCTAATTCCCACAGTATCCAAACATACTGGACTAGCACAAACAGTGCTCACAAGATACTGCACAAAAGTTACTGTATCAATTTTCCTCATTAATCATTGATTCAGAGGAAACAGATTCTCACACTTACGGCTCTATGTAGTCAGGAACACAACAGCGATCATGCAACACTAAAACATACTGTCACTCTTAAAACAGTAAGAGCAACAACAAAATCAAAAGTAACTGGATTATCTGATTAAATATGTACCTCTGTCCTACCCATCCCGACACTGATATCAGTTACCTCTTTTTGTTGGCTACAAACTGAATGCATTATTCAGCTTTTGTAAGTTTGCCCCAAAACCCCACATTTTTTTCATTGGCCTCAATCAAGTTATAAGCTATAAATTTACAAAAACTTGACAAAAGTAATAAAAATTCATAATACCTCTCCTCTCCTATATGGTTAGATAATTGGCAGGGATAATAGACACAATTTTCATACCTGTGCTGAGACCACACTGATGCTGTCAAAACCAAGATTTCCATTGCTTTCTATGATGGCTGAATTTGCATAACACGTGCCCCCATTGCTGGATGACAGTGGTTTGGGTGGTTTAGTCTTATCCTGAGAATGATTCTGTTCACCATTTTCGGAGTCATCATGGCCAGCCTATGTGGAAAATAAACAAGTAGGTAGCTATTTAAAACAAAAGTAAAATAACAAATGTACAAACAGAGACGAAAAAAGTAAAGGTGGGGGCATCATATTCATGCTGTCTTGCTTTCAGCACCAAATAAATATTTAAATGGGCAGTGGTAAATATTTAAATGTTTACATGAATTCCAAATGTATTTAAGTTCCTAATTTATCTCTTACTTCTAGCTATTCAGAATACATGCAGGGATTTTTCATTTTTACACCTTTATATAGAACCTCTCAAGCCAAACGCCTGACTTTAAGTGATTAACATTTGCTAGTTACTCATGGCTGCTTGTCAAATAGAGCTTATTAGTCTTAGTCAACTGTTCCCAAAAATGAAGGGCAACAAATTCATTTTTTCTGTTTTTCTTTTGATGCAATGATTACAAACTGGTCACAGGGACACAATTCGGGAGCGGGGACCTTAAGTGAGATAACAGCAGGAAGACAGGACAGTTTCCTTGGCAAGACATAAGCAGAGGACCAAAAAGTTTGAGAGGCCCTTCTCTGAGACAAATTCAGGCTCACTCATGCGAGTACAGAGAAAACAAGTGCTCTGACGTAAGGTCGGAGGCAGAGCCCTGTGCAGCACGGATAACTGCAGCATCACTAAAGCAGGTCTGCATTCTAGAGCATGGAGAAACACAGAGCTGAAGTCACTGAAGGTGAGATCCAGGCACAGTAAGCACAGTTACACTTCACAGGCGATTAAGAAGGTATATACATCATACCGATTTCTCCTGCCTAAGTGGAAGCTCCAGCAGCAGACCCCAGTCTCTCCAGCTCTTACTATTTCCACTTTTTTTTGGATGTGTTTAGCTAGCACAGGAATGACTTGGCCGTTGAGAGCAACTAGAGCATACACCAGTGACAGCAGACCACACACACATCTGGATTCTATTCCCAACTCTGCTTGCAACTCCCTCAAAAAAGTGAGATTGCTTCCCCTACCCATATGGATTTTAAACAGATATATCCGAACATGTGACAAGGCTGAATTCCTCAGATAAAATAGAAAAATCCCACACTTTATTAAACTATCAAGTATCTCATAAAATGTAACAGGTACTTTAAGGCAAGTCTCATTCAGTTAGTGATACATTTCATTACCTGGTTATAGATCTTCAATATCACTTTAAGAATCCTTTCCACAAAGAAGAGAATATAGAATCCACCAAACACAGCAACTGCTTTCTCAACATAGTTGTCTACGTTGGGGTTAAACCCAAATGCCTAACAGTGAAGAAAAAAGCAATGCAAATTAGTCTGTAATCTTAGCACATTTCCAGAAAAACAAACAAACAAATGCCCCCCCACACACAGATAGTCCTCTAAAATACAGACTGTCTCTTTACCAGCCATGAGTTTCCATGAGGAAAATTATTTCTATGAGGCTGAAATTATATAAGATCCTGATGGTTTTAAATTTTCTAACTTGGACTAAATGTCTTACCCAACGCATTCTCCTTCTGTCTAGAGGCAGACTATCCCTTGGTCCTTCCCATGGCACAACTAGGCACGGATCTTGAAGGCTCTGCTCACCCAGCCAGAAAGAGACGGTAGCTGATGTCACTGAAGCCCACCCACAACTCTCTGGAGATTGCAACCCACACACAGAACCCCATTGCAGCATGCTTCTAAAATTAATACACTTTTGAAACTAGTATGCAAACCAAATAATGATTCCCCTTGCTTACCTCTGGAATGAGCTGGAAAATTGCATTAGAAAAGAGAGTGCCAATGGCCAAGCCCACAAAGTAAGTTAAAACCTTGGGGAAATATGACTTCTTTAAGAGGGGAGTTAAAACCAATCCCAGAAGCGATGCCAAGTTAATGATAGTCACAGCCAGGAACCCAAATCCCCAAACTGTGGACAAACAAGCAGAAATATAAAATATTTTAGTGTAACACCCACTTCAGGCTGTTTCTGATTTTCTAAGAGCTAAATTGGCATGGAAAAAAGAGTGATTCCCTCGTTGAAATTATACTTCACGAATATAAAAATATGAAAATGCATAGATACTTCAGATGCATACCTGCAAAAAGGAAATATCTGGAAATATTGTCTGGGAGTATCATATTAAAAATGGAAACTGTGCTAGTATAAGATCTGGGATAGCCTATCTGCTGCTAGCATAAATCAGGTCTCTCTATAGTCAGTGCAGAGTAAAAATAAAGCTTTAGGCCAACAGTCAAAGTAGCTATAGCATAGACATAAGAAAAAACTTACTAGTCCCAGGGTTAGATCCAACTGTCATTTACTCCTAAGGAACTCCAAGACAGAAAGTCTGCTGTCTTGGCTGTACTAGACCCAAACATCCTTCGTGATAAAGGATGGCTCCTTCAAATTATCCTGCGGTGGTAACCTTCTGTTCCTAACACTCCTCCTCCTCCTCCTTTAATTTAAAGTAGTTCTGCTAGCTTAAAACGCTGCCCACCACTGCTTATCAAACAGCTAAGGTGGGATAGCTGATAGTAGAGACAATTACAATAGAGAAATGAAAGTATATGAAAAAAAGAGGTTCCAGGTTCAAAAAGATGGACATGTGATTTAGGTACACAACAGGGAAAACCTTTCCCAGGAAGTGGCAAATGCACCAGGTTCACCACAACTTAGCTTCCTCCACCATAAGCGTAGTCTCAGATTTTTAGAGTTCAAACACCAGGTCTTGTACAAAGCCACAGCACAACTATTCTGGAGTCTGAATTGTGGGAGTGGGTGGGAGGATGGGGGTGGTTGTCATTGTTGTTCATAAGCATCAGAAAGTTGTGCCTCTATGCATGGCTACCGTTTTTCCCAGTAACATCTAAAGACCCTGTGAGCAGAGAGAAAAGCTTTAAAGATTGCACTGAAGAGGTCAATAATGCTGCCTCAAGTGATGCCACAAAACCACAGATATCCACATAGACAGTGTATAAAAATTAACCACAAATAATAATGAAAGCCACACAATGTTAGCTATATGAGAACAGTTTGATATAACCCAGAAAGCTGCATCATTGTAAACTTTACAATATGTGTGTAGAGAAGTTACCACAAACTCCTTTCTGCATAGCAGAAACTAACAGATCAGATTATGATGTGCAGCTCAACTTTTCTGCAACACAATCAGCAAACACACTAAGCTAGATTCCTCACCTGCGGCTGGGTGGGTCTACTTTGTTTGCACAGTGTCACAATTTTTATATGTAATGAATTTTATATTATGTCAAGAACAGAAAGCATTAGAAACATTTAAAGCATTTGCAGAAGATAAATCAATGCCAATCAGAATGCTTCATTTGCCATTTTTGAGAGAGAGACAGACAGAGGGAAAACCACACAACTAGATACGGGTAGATTCACTAAGCTACACAGGAGATGAATTTCTGTTAAAATAAATTACAATTAAGCTTGTAAATACCTTCTTGAAATCAAGTCTGTAACAAACAAATGGACTTCCAATGCCATCATCAGTGACAAAACACTGTTCATAGTTTGGGATCACTACAGAAGGACGAGTCTCTTTCAGTTTTGTACACAGACAACTCCTGCACATCATTCTGTGCAAAATGCACCTTTTAAACTTAGTTAACAAAATAAAAACTCCATTTATCAGATATGAAGCATTTAGTGTACTTGCCCAAATTACTTCACCAGACACAGAAAATCAGAACAAGTTTCAAAAATTGCAATACAAAAAGCCACTACTAATTACTTCTTACAACAAAAGACAGAGGATAAATTTACAAGTTATGTCTGTAAATCAGTGGATGACAAAAATGATAGGAGAATGGAGCTTAAAACCAAGCACAGAAAAATAGGTTATTGCCAAACTGTGAGAGAAGTTGTCATGTTACCATAGGCTTCACTACAAACGGTGTAACTTTAATGCTGGTACTCTTTGTCCAGAACAGCAAAACATACTGGGACATTTAACTTCAAGTACACCTTATACTTGATACAACTGTGACCATTTTGTATGCTTAATACAATGGATGATGTGTCATAACATACTAAAGGGCCTGTGCTCACAAATAGGGATATATTCTAATCCACCAGTATGTAGTATCTCCTTTTGTCATGAAAAAAAATTAAAAGGAAAAAAGAGGCTTTCTCCTTTCTAATTTACAAGAGAGATTATAGATGCCATAAGATAGATGTGGTTTTACTTTTAAAATTCTGTCCTAGATCTGGATGGCCCAAAGATCTTGGGATTTTACATATCAGGGCATTTTTTTCTGATTTACTCACCCAAAGTGGAAGAATGAGGAAGAATTAAAATAAGTGATTAAATAACCTCAGACAATGAAAGAATAAGTTAAGTATCATCCATCCTATGCATTCCACAGATCCTGCAATGAGCCTCAGTAGTATGAGGACTATTTTAAACTAACAAAATTTTTAAAGGAATAAAATAAATCTAAGATCTTTCTTCTTCATTCTCCAAGAGGGTGCTCCTGGCCTTGCAGCAAGCTTTTCTTTGAGTTCAGAAAGACCTGATGTGTACCTGGGGGGAAAAAAATATTACCCCATAATTACACAATTACAGGAACTGGTACTTCAAGAAAAATACCAGAAATCGGAGGAAAAAAAAGTTATAAAATTCCAAGACAACCAATCTTGCCAAAGTTACTACTTTATGGACTGTATTTCACAACACCATATATGCACCGCTGTCTTAAAATTGGTTTTATTCATGAGGATTCCATCCACACTAAGATTTCCATGGGTCCACGCACCTCAGAAAGCTGGCTAGTCTGACTGCACGTATCAGAGCAGAGCATTCTGTTTAGGACACACACTCTCTCCCCCTAAGACTGGTGGCACAGTCAGCTTTTGCAACAACCATTATTCTTTCTGTCTCTGGAACTGTGTCCCCAACACAGAGAGAGCCAACGTACTCCAAACTACAAGAAATCCAAAAAATAAAGCGGCAGGAGTGCAAGTAAGATGCCCTCCTCAGAACACCATTGCTCAGCATTGTTCCGTATAAGAAGTGGAGACGGCTGCGCTGGGCCTTCCTGAGGCAGGCTCAGGCTCCTCCTGAGCCCCGTCCTGGGATGAAGAAGAAATAAGGGTAGGAATACCTTTCTGAAGAAGCCAAGCAGAGAGCACAGAACCTGTTTGGCTTGGACAGAAGGAATGCCACCAGGCATCTCCAGCCATTTCATGCAGCTCTACACCTCTCCCTGTTACTTTTCAGAGAAGCAAAAAATGAAAGGACACAAGTGTGCCTCTAAGGTCAGCTAGGTTTGACATGAGACATACAAACCCCAAGGAAAAAAGACATGCTGTGTGCTGCCTTTTAACTTTTACTCTGCTTCAGCAGCACTTGTTTTTCATCGCAAGTAGCTGTCCTGTAAAGCTTACTGCACTAATTTCTTCTGTGTGTCTTGTCTGTTCGTGTTTTGGAAGACAGAATATTATGAAGTGTGTGGGAGTCCCCGGGCAGAAAATCCACACAAGCGCAGCTGGAAGCATGCAGAGAGGATTTTGCTTCATAGGCAGTAATTTATATCAGCTGGTGTCAATGCTGCCACAGTACAGATTCATTTTGTGATGGGGTGGGGATGTGCATAAATCAACATCTGCACTTGGCACTGGGTCTTTCTGTGAATTTCCCTTCAAAACAGGGACCACCACGTGTCACAGCCAGATACACTTGTGGTTTTAAAATACTCTAACCATGGGCCTGGCAGATTTCTTGTGCTGCAGCCAAGGGAGTGGGCAGTGAGAAGGCTGCCTTGCTTATCTGGCTACTGGACATTGCTTCTGAGCTGTCAGGATAAAAGAAAAACAAGAGGGAAGGTCTAAATAGCTTAGGTGTTAACTATAGGTCAAACTTTCCACATACAACCTACTTAAACAGACAAACGAAAAAAAAAGGCAGACCAATCCTAAGCTCCGGTGCAGGTATTACGGACTTCTTGACAATATGTGCCCTCATACGGTATAAGCAAGCTAGAACAAAGATGGTAAATTTAGGACATGGTTTCAGTGATTAATCAAACATAATTCTAATTATTCACTGACACAGCTAAGTTTTGGGAATGATCTTTAATTCTTAATAAATATCATCACTTAATACTAGTATTTCAAAACTTATGAAAAACCCTGCTGTATCTCTGCTCATAAATACTGCTATTAGGCACCTGCTCATCCAGCATCCTAACTTTTAACTTTATTTCAGCTGACTCCCTTGGAACAATAGATTTATTTGGAATACCAAGTCAAACAAACAGGTCATTACATATTTGATCCTTATTAGTGCAACAAGTGACTTCGGTAACCAGCTGAATCTTCCCTGTCCCACATTTTTTACTGCACTGTACAGTTCTGTGCAAAATAAATACAGAAATAATAGTGAGAAAAATAGGAGGAAGGAAGATGAAGGCTACTCAGCCATGTGATAATGTTCCATGTGAAGGGACAGCACAGAAGATGACATGAAAGCAGAAGTCGGAGTTTGAAAAGAGTATTTTTCCTCAGTAAAACAGTCACTGGCTCCCCTGATGTCATGACTCTCACCTGCAAATAACTCCACTCGAATGCATTTCCCTAATAATTGTACCTTGAGTTGCCTTGATACATGCACACCCCACTAAGTCTGATTTCCCACTGCAAATCACCTGCACAAACTTCCCTTCTGTACTCCCATCTTCTCTCTTATTAACCAGGCGTTTGCCAGAGTCCTTATGCTTCAGGGCACAAACCATTATCCAAGTAAAACAGGTCAGAAAGACTCTTCCTTTAATGGGCAAATTAATCCTAACTACCTACTCGGTTTTTCCACCTTTCTCTCAAACATTTTGAATAGATTACTGTTAAGAGGCAAGATATTTGTTTAGATAGTTCGCTGACCTGAAACAGCATTTTAGTTTTATGTTCCCACTTTACAACTACATCCCCCTAAACAAGACACCCCTGTGATGTATAGGCAAGTGCTTACTATTCTCCTAAGAAAATCCCACTCCAGTCGCAGTATTAATGCAATTAATATTAACTGACCTTGTAAAGCATGTGGTTTAGATGTATCCACAAAGTTTTCATGATGATCACACGGGTGAAAAATTAGCTGTTGCAAAACAGCAGGACATATTGTAGAGAAGCTTGAATTTGATACGTGACTGTTGTTCGGTATCCCATGCAAAGAAAAAATTTCCTCACCAGTCAAGCACTGAAACAAAAAGGGATTTTGCCAACTTAATACATTAATGCAAAACCAAAAAATAAGTCATATACTGAGAAACCCAAGAATTACAACATGATAATACTGAAATGCATTTTCAAAGAAGTGTACACAGTGTTTGTATGCTGTGCACGAAAACGCTGTGATTGCTTAATGTGAAGCAGAAGCAATTCAAAGTATTTTAGGTAAGATAAACCACAAATCAATGAAACATGTTTTAAATAGACATTTGCACATCTTACGCCCTTTGAACCAGGAGGGCAGTTAAAACCTTACAATATATTTTGAAAAATAGCTTCTAAGTAATTAAAATGTCATGTAACTACAAAATAATTAAATTTAAGAGCAGACCAGATACAATTAAAATCTCAGTGACACAGTATGTCAGAAAACTGGTAATTCAGCGACTGCTTATTCATGTAAGTGACCACTTCTACCTACAATTTCTCCCCAAATTAGCTGTTTAAAAATGGTCCAAACATTAGCAGCACTCAACATTCTTCATTCATTCTATAGCAATAATTGTTAACAGTAAACATTGTTTTGTGAAACCATTCTGTACTCCAACGAGACAAACTCCTCCTTTGGATCTTCACTTTGCCTTCAGCTCAGAACATAACACTACCTAATGGCTCAAGGATAATCGTCCTTAGCAGGGCTAAACCAGGCCTGGGGCAAAGCTGGTTGCTCTGTTCATTATTTTCAATCAAAAAGATAAAAGACAAACCCTGAAATATCTTAAAATCTGTATCTGCAGAAAAATGGAGGATTTTTATATGAAACGTTCTACGCCACTGAAGTCTTTCATCTAATACTTTCCATTTATTCAAACAAAAGTGATTTGGCTTACTGCTGTATAACAAACACATACTATAATGTTGAGTCTCAAGACAAAAAAAAAAAGTCAAACGTTTTGCTCCTATTTGAGACACCAAGTTAGAGCATAACTCTCCCTGTAACACACATAAATCTCAGTGTGGTTGCAGAAGCAGAGCACTGGAAGCCTTAGCAAAATAAAAACAAATGGTCACTCCCTGCTCTTGTCAGTTTTGCTAGCCTTCAGATTCCACAGCACTTCCCCAGTAATTCAAGATTATTACATATAAAGCAACTGCAAGTCATTTACTTCAACATAGTTGCTTCTGTTAATAAATATTTTTCTAATACTGTCCAAAAGGTGAAAGGTATGCACACATCATTTGAATGTGACTATTTCTGATTTAGCTTGGAGGAGCAGAACTTGCAGGCCCATTCAAGTGACTTCAGCTAAATTACATCCAGGATGTTTCTGAGCTTCATCTTCAATGACCCAGTCCAGCAGAGCACTCAACTACATGCTTGAGCTTGAACATAGGTTGAAATTTTGTTAGGGCCATGAGACCCTGAAGACTCAAACACATCTAAACAACATGCATATACTTTCATCTTTCAATGTCAATGTTAATGTCAAAGTATCACATATAAAATAAATATAACTTGATAACAGAAAACTTTTTTTCGTTTTAAAGCATCTTGCTCAATTTGATCTCAGTGGAAGTAGCAGAGAGAGGTGTCATCACTGAAGATACAGTCTTTCTCAGTCCAATACATGAACCTCTGGAGTTTTCTAAACTGGTTATGTGCCTAATCATTTTACCATTAACTCTGCATGGCTAGCATGTCCAGTGTGAAATAAAGAGAGAATAGTTGCGGGCTACAGGAACAGTTCCTATATGGTGCTTCTTGTATTACGGGCTCATAGAGCCATTTGTGGAAGTTTACAGTGAAAAGCTCTTAGAAAAATAAGCCAGCAGGAGATGAGAATTCATAACATAACCATCTCTAAGAGAAATCATCTTGAACTATCTCATTCCTAGAAACACAGAATGGATTACTAGCACTTTAAAATACTAATATATATGTATTAATATTAGTTCACAAAAATCCAAACCATGTTGTAGGTAGAATAAACAGATTCTGAAGAGAAAATAAATCAGACACAGCATGAATAAATAAATAAACTTGAGACTTGTAACTTTGGCTACATACAAAGAAATAAGCGACAAATACCATCAGACAAGAGCTCTTTTATGTGAGGATGAGAAACAGCATTTTATTTAATTACTATTATTATTTTGATCAGGGACAAACCCAGAGGACAATGATTCCTATGAATGATTCATTGTTATAAGTCACTTCATCCTTTCGGTAAACTCCTCCACACATTGAAGAGCTAAAAAGCAAGCTTGCATGAGTTCACTGGCATAATTAAAGGATTAATTAAAAGATTAAATCTATTAGAAGCCTCGGATTGGAGCAACTCATGTATGCAGACTGCAAAACTCTGCCTTTATCTTTGGAGGATAAACACATTAAGACAGCCATGCTGCTGTAAAAACATGAGCTATTTATTTTGTAAGACTGACAGATGACCTCAGCAGAAAGGAAATTTAGCCTTATGGAACAGGGGACTGAGAATGACGTCCTGGCTCAGCACGCCTACCGTCACGTCTATCCCCTGCTACTCAGCAAGCCTTGTCATAGCGCCTAGGTGAGGGGGCTGGCTGTAACGTGACTGTCACCCAGTGCTTAACAAGCAACTGCAAAAAAGATATGACATAACCCATTATGTCCCTGAACTGCTAAGAAAACATTTAAAAAATGCTTTCCTCAGAACTAGAGATGACTTAAAATCTCTAGAATTTACACAATTATGCAGTATTCAGACTTTTAAAAAAAACAAACCATAACTGGGTTATTCAAACAGATGTTTTCTTTTCTCCTGGTAAGGCTCTCCCAAAAATGACTGCCCAATACAGGATTTTTCTTTTTTTTTTTTTAAGATGGTGAATGAAATAAAGTGATGTCCAGCCATCTAGAATCTCTTTACACCAGTTATCTTTATAAATGAAAAGCAGACGCCAGCTCAGACAAAAATAATGCAGAGAGACCTCTAACTGGAAATTTAACAAAAAATGATACAGTACCAACCATCTTGTAAATGCTTCAGTCCCCTTTCTGATTTTCAGCCAATGTTGTCATCTTTGCTCTATCTTTATCTGTAGCATTCCATATGTTAAGTCCTGTGACACCCAACAGCAACCAGGACTGCACTTTCCAGATGTTGCCAGATTAAATACTAGCCTAGCCCACACCAGGGCTGAGCAGTGGGTCACACAGTAGCAACAGCAAAGAAAGAATGCAGTGAACACCTAGCTGACCACCATGTATTTTACTTAGCCTGAGCCCGGATAAGGCAAAATACAGACATATGTCTTCTTCAACTTAAAAGCATCTAATGCTGATGTGGTGACACCGTTCCGTCACTCAGGACAGGTATGAACTGGATGCTAGGAGACGACCATGCCTTCAATAAGCAGCACTCCACGAGGAAGAGTCAAACCAGATGAAGCTGTCTGAATGTACTTGTGTGCTTTTTCACACACACCAACACATTCAAGGCAGCAGTTCATGCCGGAAGCTGCAAACTGCCCATGAATGCTGAAATTCGCTGAAGACATTGTAGAAATAAGACACTTAGAGGGTGGAACCCCCGATATCAATACAGGCTGAGGGATGAGGTGACTGAGAGCTGCCCTGCAGAGAAGGACTTGGGGGTACTGGTGGATGAAAAGCTGGACATGAGTCACCAATGGGCGCCCGCTGACCTGAAGGCCAGCAGCATCCCGGGCTGCATCAAGAGAAGCATGCCCAGCAGGTCGAGGGAGGTGATTCTGCCCCTCTGCTCTGCTCTGGTGAGACCTCACCTGGAGTCCCGCACCCAGCTCTGGAGCCCCCAGCACAGGAAAGACATGGACCTGTTGGAGTGGGTCCAGAGGAGGACCACAAACGTGATCAGAAGGCTGCAACACCTCTCCTGCGAGGAAAGGCCGAGAGAGTTGGGGCTGTTCAGCCTGGAGCAGAGAAGGCTGCGGGAAGACCTTATAGCAGCCTTTCAGTACGTAAAGGGGGCATATAGGAAAGATGGGGACATCTTTTTAGCAAGGCCTGTTGTGACAGGACAAGGATTAATGGTTTTAAACTAAGGGAGGGTAGATTTAGACTAGACATAAGGAAGAAATCTTTTATAACTGGGATAGTGAAACACTGGAATGGGTTGCCCGGAGAGGCAGTGGAGGCCCCATCCCTAGAAACATTCAAGGCCAAGTTGGACGGGGCTCTGAGCAACCTGGTCTGGTCAAAGATGTCCCTGCTTACTGCAGGGACGTTGGGCTAGATGACATCTCAAGGTCTTCTCACTAGCCACGCAACATCAGATCATGGTGTTGGATCAAGACCATAAGCCACACTCTCTCAGGCCATTCACCCTTCTTCAAAAAAGCACAGGTTATAACTGGTGAAACACTAACAAAAAAAACCAAAATCAAAGGAGATACTGATCCTAGTCTATCCGAAACACCAAAGTTACTGGCTTTTTGACTCATCTTGAGGTGAAAACTAATTATATCTGATCATGAATATCAATAGAGATTTTAACTTCATTTTGTCCAAAGGTTTTGTTAAAAATTAAAGTATGTTACATTAAGACACAGTATTCAGGCATCACATACAGACCAGCATAAATATAGATTTAGAAACATCAAAGAAGGAAATTGGACCGTGATTTTAGCACCTACTGATTATGTCAAAGCACAAACTAAAAGTGATGTTAACAAGCTTTCTTTCCAATGCCCATTTACCTTCCATGTATTTTTTGACCAAAACTTTTGAGTGTGTAATTTAATCCTCCAGCATACACACGTGGCTATCATACTACAATGAAACCAAAAATAGAAGATCAAGTATAGTTTTGTGTTCTTACATCTTGCTAATAATGTAAAATACAGAGGGAGTAAAAAAAACCCTACAAGTACGATTAAAATGTGTTGGAATTCCACAATAAAATGTGAAAAAACAGCCATGACGAGTATTTGAGTTTGCTCAGTTACTACTTCTTCCTCTGACAGGAAGTCTTCGCTTACATATTAAGTAAAGGTGACAACAGAAAAATTGAAGAGCAAAGAAAATATAAACACAAAGTAAAGCAAATTGTAAAAGTGCATGATGAAGAAAAAGACATCCAAAGCATACGGGAGACCAAAGCGTTCAACCAAAAATTTCAAAACAGTACTCTAAAAATTTGTTTTCTTTCTTGTGATTTGCAGGAAAAAAAATAGTATCTTCATGGACATGACAGGACATAAGTTACCATAAATGCCCACACGCGTATATGTTCAAACACCATCATAAATAAATTAAATCAGTTTTTCTTCTCCCTTATCTTTTCAAGACAGCCTGGTATCAAAGGAAAATAGAAATGAAGCATCCATCTTCTTCCGGCTCACACATCCAAAATCTTTCAACCTTAAAGAAAACGGATCAGCTTCTTGTGGATCTTCCCTTGTGGGATTAGTAAGCTTACCAAGATTGTTATGAATGAAACATCAAAACCAAACACTAATACCAGCACAAAACTAAGAGAGACTTCCTTCCTGCCAGTATTTGCAAGTGCTGTTATCATCTGTCCCTTACAGATCAGCTCTCCACTAAAAACTACTTCAGGCTTGGAGGCGGGGCTCTCTGATAGAGCAGGGGTGTGTTACCTTGACTGGAAGCAAAGCCTGGGAGTCATCCCACTAGCTCTGAACACTGAAGAACTGAAAGTCTAAGATAAACCTTGTTTCCTCCTACAGTCAGATACTTACGCAGCCTGAATGGATTCAGCCTACCTGAGAAAGACCTGAATCACTCTCCAGAGGCATTTACTTTCCTCTGTAGAGAATCTGCAGAGATTAGGCCTCTGGTGCCTTCCAAAACACAAAGTTAGATTAGGTCACTTTATGTCTTCTGTCATAACCAGCAGATGCTCTAAATTATCAAATCGTGAGCACAAAGAGTCACAGTACCTTAAAATGATCACATATGATCTGCTTGGTATGAGTATGCATTCGCACGCACCACCTGCCCAAAGTCACTGATACACCTAACATCCATGAGGGATCAAAAGCCAGGAGGCAAACCGCGCTTGCTTACATGGTAGTGGCTGGTGGAGCAGCTGTAAGGCCAATTTTAAGACAGAATACAAGTAACTTTGCCAAAAAGTATACACGTTTCAGTATGGTAGCCTAGATACTATTCCAAAATGGACACAACTAGGACAGGCCTGTGAAAAAATTTGTTTCAGTTAAACTCCAAATGACTTAAGAGGGATATGCATTTACAGTAATAAGAAAGAGCATTACTTTTTTTCCTTCCACTCTGTAGCCTGCGCCAAAGTCTGTGTACGAGGGCTACGTGCTTTTGCAGAGGGAAAACCTGAAGGACTGAAGAATCTACTCACTTCTATGCCCTTTCAAAGAAAGCTCCTTTTCATAGCCATATTCAACACTGCAAACTTGTATTTAGCGCTTGTGGCTGGGAATGTTTATGTTTTTCATATGCTGTGTTGGGACAGTGTTCAATTTGTGAGATTTGAAAGCAGTGACTCCAGCAAATATTGCCGTGCTTATACTGAATACTACATTGATTTCAGCGGTGTTAACTCCCAGTTAAACGTCTGCCAAGGGTAAAGACATCAGAATTGCACTTTTTCTAAAACAAGGGGAGCTTATCCAAGGTTTGTCCCCTTCACAGCACAAGCGAAAGAGCTACTACTCCAAATGTAAAAAAGGTCCCCGAGGTCCCCAGCCCCATGCCTCTTCTGTTTCTTAGGGGGCTGAACCGAATGAGAGCAAACTGTCATTCC